GCCACGTAGAATTAAGGCAGTTCTGAAGGTGAAAGGGGGTCAAACACCGTATTAGTATGGTGTTCCTAATAATCCTTTAGGTGAGTGTATACCTGCATGCCTTTAGTATGTGATAGAGTAAATCAATAAAATTGAAAAGAAATGATTTGCTGTTTATTTTACAAATAAATGCTAAAATAGTATGGACAAATTAAAGAGACTATTTATCCTTGTATTATAGTCATGTTTCAAACTAAGTGTTTAACCTTAATTAGTATCACATGTTTTCAACAGCCAAGCTTTTCACGAGCCATTCATCCTATTTAAAGGGAAAGAAAATGCTACTGTCCTGTTCAGTATAATTGTGTGCACCATACTGAACATTTAGCAGAGAAAGGAAAGGACAGAGTTGTCTGAGGAGGTCAGAAGGCAGATTATAGATAACCATGTTAAACGTAAAGGCTATAAGACCATCTCTGAGTGGCATAATGTTCCTGTGACCACATTTGTGAATATTATTAAAAAATAAGGTTCTTAGAATTGTAGCCAGCCTCCCAGGACGTGGACGCAAGAGGAAACGCAATCCCAGGTTGATTAGAAGCATAGTGCGGATGGTAGAAAAAGAGCCAAGGAAATCATCCAAAATCATTCAAGCTGAGCTCCAAGGTCAAGGTCCATTACTTAATGATCACACCATCCATTGCAATTTTAACAGTAATGGGTTCCATGGAAGAACTACCACTATTGACAGAAAAACATTTTGGAATTCTCCAAAATGCATGTTGACAAGCCACAAAGTTTCTGGGAGAATGTCTTTTGGACTGATGACAAAACTGGAGCTTTTTGGCCAGTCACATCAGCTCTATGTTTACTGAATGAAAAAATGAAGCTTTAAAAGAAATCTACTGTGAAACATGAAGGGGGATTTGTTTTGGGGCTTCTTTGCTGCATCTGGCACGGGGATCCTTGAATCTGTGCAGGATACAATGAAGTTTCAAAACTACCAAGGCATCATGGAGCGAGACATACTGTGCAGTGTCAGAAAGTCTCAGTCACAGGTTCTGCAACAGGATAATGACCAACAACATACAGCTAAAAGCACTCAAGAAAGGTAGAGAAAAAAACATTGCACTATTCTTAAATGGCCCTCCATGAGCCCGGCCCTTAATCCTATTGAACATCTATTGAGATATCTGAAAATTGCAGTGTGGAGACACCACCCTTCAAAGCTGAGACAGCTTGAGCAGTTTGCTTAGGAAGGGTGAGCCAGACTACCTGTTGGCAAATGCAGGCATCTCATTGTGAAGTACAGAGATCATTTGTTGGCAGTGATTTCTGCAAAAGGTGGTGCCACAAAATATGAAATTAAAGGTACCAT